AACATCGTTCCGGTGAACCGTAGGCAGCAAACTTGAAAAAACTATTTGCCAGCAACTGGAGGACCGTTTTAAAGGACCCTGATGCTTGAAAGAGAATTGTGGATGAGGCTAATTTTCACCTCAAGATGTAATTGATACCTGATGATGAAGGATTACAAACTATGTAATGTTTGCGATGCCTGTTTGTATAAAGTTGCATTGAGTAAAGTTTAAAGTAAAGCCTTGGTTGTGATTACATTGCAGTGCAGGTCATAGACAGGCAGCGCTCGTGAAACATGGGCGTAATTATACTCCGCATAGAGAGCTTAGTCTCTCAGAATCAGCTGTTCAGTGTAATCAGTTAGTCTGTTCCAGTACTCCAGGATTTAGTTAGGAAGATATACTAACTGAAAAAGGCAGTGGAATCTCTCTTTGAAAATGTCGTATAGCGAAAAATCAAAATTCCCTAAACTCCGTTGTCATGCCCTGTCATGCGCTGCGTCGGGTAATCGCTTGTCTGCAAAACTCATTACACAAATTCGATATGTGACATGTTATGCACTGCTGTACAATGTAGGTACAATCAGCGTTTAATGCGAAGCAATGTTGTGTAGGATGCTTAAATATTATTTTTGAAGTGAAACTTCTTGACACTCAGTTGGGACCATCTTGGGCTCTCATTCCAAACGAAAAATCTGCCGAAAAAGGTTGAGGGTGGCGAGGTTCAAATTGAAGCGCTTTTTTTGAGATGTATTATGAGATGTATTCGATAACCAGCGAAGGTCGAATTTTAAATTCGTGTTATAAGCTATGCAACCGTGTCGAAATTTTCGTTGAGTATCGAATTCTGTTCGAAAGAGAACAGAATTTTGCTTTCGATGCTGGAGCGCAGTATGAGGAAATTGTGAAAAATATACGACTTTGTGTTTGTCTTTTACTTTTTGGCAGCGAGACACTAGTTTTAAAATTTTTTTGACTAATTTCATGTAGGTCTAAGGTCAGCTCGAAAGGCTGAATAAACTTATGAAAGAAAATCCAAATAATCATTTGACATGATCTCTGAGCGCAAAATTGCAGAACTGTTGATAGTATTAAAATATTTTAAATAGATTTGGCTCGAGTGCATTGCTGAAAAAGGTCTTGAGTAGCGGACAACAGGTCTACAAACGCTTATTTAAACAGGCGGAAGTTTTTAATAAATATGTAGAAAATTGTATGTCAAAATATATTCGAAAGACTACACGCTCTTAAACGTTTTCCCCTTTCCAGTTCCACTAAGCTCTCATCCTCTGATGAATCGTCGAACCATACTCATTTTCACCAAGTTTTTATAAACTCGCTTTATTTTTTACTTCACTTAAATTTGCACAAACTTACACATTTATGTATAAGCACAGTATTTAGTTTGCTCAATTTGTAAACAATGCTTCTCAGCGGTCAAAAATAAAGTTTTGTGAACAACCAAAACGAGTGAAATTCACAATAGCGCTATTCCTCATCGAATCAGCGTCATGATACTAAGTGAAAATTCGTTCGATCAGCACTTTGGACCACAGTCGAAGATCGAATGCAACTCATAATAGGGGCCTGAGATTATGATTGAAACAGGGTTGGGCATAATGCACTAAAAAATGAATGCAGAAATGTACTCGTATAGATAATATGCGAAGACACACAACATTTATTGTTCTTGTCTAAGAAGTTATTTATTTTAAGTTATAGTTTGTTTAACTTCCTTGCACTTTTGTTATCCATTGCCGAAAGAAAAAAATTATTTACTACTACTCGTACGCGTAGGCATGTTTTATAAGTTTGCGTATCAGACCGAAGTCATACCTTTTCTTGCTCTGAAATTGCTGATGTAAAATTCTCCATCTCCCGTCCATAAAAAGCCGAGTACAGACAGTCTGAAAATACTCGTGTATGCAGGCTGTTTAATTCAATCAAATAATATATTTTCTTTATAAAATTTACCCAGGAAAACTTGTCAAATTGTAATCCAAAATATATAACGGTAAGAATGGCGGATATATGAATGAATACACACGAGCGACACCTCTAGCCATTATGTGGCTCTCCTTTAAGTTATCGCTCAATTTTTTTCATCCCCCTTCCGGAAATCCTGGCTGCGCCTCTGCTCCAGACTGCGAATAATTAGATTAGATGCCAGTCATGGTAGATGCTTTACTAACGAAAATCAAACCTGAGCTAAAATCTCCGGACTCAAATTCACTGGATTACCGAAATCGGGTAATCTAAAAGCTAAATTTTATGGAAGAAGTATTCGGAGTTAATAAACGAAGTTTTTTGAAAATCGGTCCACAACCACGCGCACCTACCAAATAAAGCATAACGTCAAATTTTTATAAAATAAGTAATTCTAAGCACTGTTAGTTGAAACTTGATAGATGGCTCGTTTATTAAGAACCTGTAGAGTAAGTAAAGGTGGAAGGGTATTAGCCTTAAACTGCGCCCACCTACCATACAAAAACAAAAACAAATCACTATAAAAGACATATTTTTTTAACAAATCTCAGAAAGCTGAAACTTGTTGGTGGTGACCTTCAGTATGCTATTATACTCGTACATACGAAAGTCAACCAGGCATACGGCGTTAATAAATCGCTTAATGCGAATAATATACCACAATGACTTGTTAGCATTACTGCATTTTATTTTGTTATTTTTGTTATAAATCGTGCATAAAAATTTACTATATCGCATAATCAGTCTTTATCACTGATTGTAGTAGGAAATAAGTAAATACTTAGATCTTTATTACAGTTCTTTCTACTGACTTTTCTAGTATGGTTGCCAGGGAAATTCTGACAATTGTCTTTCAACTCACCACAGTCTTTCGAAAGACAAAAGT